AAACTTAATTTTCATTTTTTAAATTGTTCGAAAAATTTATTTCTTTTGGCTTCTTTTTTTCTAGATTATTCATTGTTAGACAGCGTGACTTTCGCCACGAGACTTGCGTTACAGTTTTATCTCGCTCCTCCGACTACCGACACGAAAAGCTGTCCGGTTAGGAGCCCATAAGCCGGAGTGAGCAACTTCCATGCGCTCGTGTCACGGCGTTTTCACGGACCAGTTTATTTTTAGAACGGTTTTGGCGCGAATCTTGAACATCTTTTAAGACCCAAAAAGGATATTTTTTGCCTTTTAGTAACATTTAGTTTTCCTTTTTGATATTTTATACTTTGAATGCGCTCATAGACATGGTGGAGACTCCATTTTCGCGGGAAAAAGTGCCTTGAAATGTGTCTAAAAATAAACCGGTCCGTAAAAACGCCGTGACATGCGCCTAGTATGGGAGTTGCTTGCTCCGGGTTATGGGCTCCTGATCCGGTATAGTGTTAACACCTACTCGATATGTGACTCTGCACCTTAAGATCAGCGCGGCGCAGCTTACGCTCCGTTACAGTTATAGTTTTTGTGCCGGGCGGGTGCAAAAGCTATATTCGGTATAGCGTGAACATAGCCTCAATCCACAAAAACCTCTTTGTGTCGCTTGGAGGCTGTGGAGAATCGAAACGAATGCGCACTCATTTTATTCTTTGTTGTTGCTTTTGTTTGGTTGTTTATATATCCAGTAGAGCCTCTGTGAGGAGATGTAATTAATATTGCAGTTAAAAGTCAAGTATGCCGCTGTGTCTGTTTTGCAACCCATGTCTGGTTCTTAAAACTAGGGCTCGTTATATCGTGGTTTCAATGAATATTGGTAATCACATTTATTTATTATTTATATTTACGGGTAAAGCGAGTCTAATGGTTTTAATGCGCACGAAAAAAGGTGAAAACAGGAAAAATGCCTTCACAAGCTTTAGGGCGTGTACCTTGTCTTTGATAGAGTAGACATTCTATAGGTTTGACTTTTTCTCGACCAAAGCCTTAAAAAACTATCCCTTATTGTCATACAATTTTTGCTGAGCAAAGTCTATGTAAGCACTCTAACGACTGAAACTAATGAGGCATTCATATCTAGAAAAATACAGATACCCTTGAAACCGGAGTTTTAATACAAGGATACTTGTGAGGTTCGCCACTAAATTACCCAGACAACCAAGTCAAGAGTTTTGCTGTTGTTGTCCTTGTTTCATTTACCAAGAAAGGTATTGAAGCCGAAGCGTTCTGTTGCATTAAACGATGTTTATTTTTCAGTTTCACTAAGTAAGAAGAGAAATGCATAATTTTTCGTCCTTTTTTGTAAGGCGAAACCCTCAAATGGAAGGAAAACCAAAACAAAACAATCTAAAATCAAGTGGATTGTAACAGGGATACGTTATATCCAAGTATACTGTTTATTTTTCTCTTTTGATTAAAGGTGTCATCACTTTTTCCTGTCTTCCAGGGTCTAGCAGGCGAATTCTGCCGCTTTTACAATATTTTAATTTCCACGGACTGAAACAAAGTAGCCGCCGATACGTCTACTTCTGTAGATACGTCTGTATTCATAGGCTATCCGCGGCTAGACGAAAAAAAATTGCAAAAAAAAAAAAACCTAAGTACTTGAAAGTACGTTTGTCATTTTCATTATTTCAAGATTCAAATCGGAAAATGGGGGCTTGTGGGGGGCGCAAAGCGGCTTTTTCAACAAAGGTAAACTGGTTATTTTGAGAAACGTGACAACATTATAGACTCAGAGTTGGCCCTTGTTTTCCTCAGCGGTAATGGCGTTATATTGGGATCCGGTTCCGTCCATTTTAATAGGTAGATTTATGAAAAACAACGCAATGTCAGCGCACGGAAAGGATTGAACGCAACCTCCGGTTCTCGATTTGTCACTCTACCATTGTTCAGTATTCGGTTTTAAGTCCTCAACGCTCGGCCGTCTCTCAGCGTTCGCATTCTAGTGACTGTGCTCTTGTAGATCACAGTGAAATGAATGCAAGTGAACTTTTCAAACTCAAGAAGAACCACGAACCGTACATAGGCGAGTGGTTTCACTGCAGAGTCAAAAATGTTTTCTCAAAGTGTTGTTATTGTTTGTTTTTTGTTTTTAACTTTCAAACGATCTTTTCCGCTGAAGTATCCTGGAGCCCTCCGTGTAAGAGACGGAGAAAAAAAAAAGCGTCATCGTTAGGGCAATTCCATCGTCTTCACTCTCCTAGAAAATACTAGAGCTCTTGACACTTCTCGCCATACAAAATCAGTTCAAAACTTTAGCTTTTCTTTATGACCGACTGTACAGAATAATAAAGATAATTATATTAATTGTGTACTCAAATGGAAGAAAAACCAAACTAAAACAAAAATCTAAAATGAAGTGGATTGTAACAAGGATACGTTATATCTAAATATACTGTTTATTTTTCTCTTTTGATTGTTGTTGTAAAGGTGTCATCACTTTGTCCTGTCTTCCATGGTCTAGCCAGCGAATGCTGCCGCTTTTACAATATTTTAATTTCCACGGAGTCAAAGCAGCCGCCGCCGGATACGTCTGTGTTCATAGGCTACCCGCGGCCAGACGAAAAAAAAAAATTGCAAAAAAAAAACGTGAGCCAAGTACTTGAAACTAAGTTTGTCATTTTCATCATTTCAAGATCCAGATCGGAAAATGCGGGCTTGTGGGGGGCGCAAAGCGGCTTTTTCAACAAAGGTAAACTGGTTATTTTGAGAAACGCGACAACATTATATAATCAGAGTTGGCCCTTGTTTTCCTCAGCGGTAATGGCGTTATATTGGGATCCTGTTCCGTTCATTTTAATAGGTAGATTTATGAAAAACAACGCGATGTCAGCGCACGGAAAGGATTGAACGCGACCTCCGGTTCTCGATTTGCCACTCTACCATTGTTCAGTATTCGGTTTTCAGTCCTAATCGCGCGGTTTTCTCTCAGCGTTCGTACTCTAGTGACTGTGCTCTTGTAGATCCCAGTGAAATGAATGCAATTGAACTTTTCAAACTCAAGTGGAACCGCGAACCGTACGTAGGCGAGTGGTTTCACTGCAAAGTCAAAAATGTTTTCTCAAAGTGTTGTTATTGTTTGTTTTTTGTTTTTAAGTTTCAAACGATCTTTTCCGTTGAAGTATCCTGGAGACTTGTGTGTAAGAGACGGAGAAAGAAAAAAAAGCACCATCGTTAGGTCAATTCCATCGTCTTCACTCTCCTAGAAAATACTAGAGCTCTTGACACTTCTCGCCATACAAAATCAATTCACAGCTGTAGCTTTTGTTTATGACTGACTGTACGGAATAATAAAGATAATTATATTATTCTTGTACTCAAATGAAAGAAAAACCAAACCAAAACAAAAATCTAAAATGAAGTGGATTGTAACAGGGATACTTTATATCCAAATATACTGTTTATTTTTCTCTTTTGATTAGAGGTGTCATCACTTTTTCCTGTCTTCCAGCGTCTAGCCAGCGAATGCTGCCGCTTTTACTATATTTTAATTTCCACGGAGACAAAGCAGCCGCCGCCGGATACGTCTACTTCTGTAGATACGTCTGTGTTCATAGGCTATCCGCGGCCAGACGAAAGAAAATTGCAAAAAAAAAAACGTGAGCCAAGTACTTGAAACTAAGTTTGTCATTTTCATTATTTCAAGATCCAGATCGGAAAATGCGGGCTTGTGGGGGGCGCAAAGCGGCTTTTTCAGCAAAGGTAAACTGGTTATTTTGAGAAACGCGACAACATTATATAATCAGAGTTGGCCCTTGTTTTCCTTAGCGGTAATGGCGTTATATTGGGATCCTGTTCCGTTCATTTTAATAGAAGATTAAAGCACCATCGTTAGGTAATTTCCATCGTCTTCACTCTCCTAGAAAATACTAGAGCACTTGACACTTCTCGCCATACAAAATCAATTCAAAACTTTAGCTTTTCTTTATGACCGACTGTACAGAATAATAAAGATAATTATATTATTCGTGTGTGTTAATCCCTGGCTCATTTTTGAGTTCCTTACCTACATTTTTTCCTTCAGAAACGGTTGCTGCAGATAATTCTGGAAAATAGAGATGTTTTTTTCCTCTCTTCTGCTGCTTTTGTCATTGCTTCACATCGCAGCAGCTGCAGAAGATGGTAAGGCGGGTGAGCTTTCCATTTAGTATTTCATCTTGGTCTATACTGAATTAATTGCTTTTTTCCTAATGTGCTATAACGTTACGACAAGTCTGTTGCTGCATGCGAGCTCAGGCGGAACGGGGGTGGGAAAGAACGATCGTCTCCTTCCCCCTTCTTCCCTCCCCTCCCCCCGCCCCCCGAGAGCTCGTTCGCGGGCTAACAAGACTGTAGTGATTATAATCATTTTATGACAGACCTGCAGCCTTTGTACCCGATTGTGACAACCTTGTGGGTATGAGGCATAAAGAACAACTATAAATGACACTATCGTAATGTTTTCGGGAAAACAAGAGACTACAGCCGCCTCGAACAACTCCTCCTAATGCGCCTAATTCGTGCTCTCCAAACATCCCGCATGCTTCATATCTCGACATAAGCACGCTGACGCATAGACGAACTGTTAAATGACGGTTTTTTTTTCTGTCAAAGTAAGGGCCCGTTTACATGTAGGTGGAGGACCCCAGATAGGTGAGGTAATATGCGGCGGGCCACCCCACCTATCATGTAAACGTGATCAAATTAAAATGAGAGATTATATAGACAGGCGGGTTACCGCGGGTTACCTCACCCACGTGGGGGTCCCCCACCTTACTGTAAACAGGCCCTAAGATCAAAATCTTCAATTCACACCCCTAGGTGAAACAATGGACGACCTTGTCCCTTTTGTAGAGGGGTCTCCCCCAACCTCGTTCCCAGGGTTCTCTCCTACCCGTCCGTACGGGTAGGAGAGAGAACCTGGGAACGAGGTTGGAGTCTCCCCCTCCCCTGCCTCATTGAGAGAGTCTGTAATTCCAGTTATGAAATTTGTTTCTCCACAAGCAGAGATTGACATTTTTGAAGCCATGGACGTAAATCCCCACACTGTAGGTCTGCAGAAGGTACAAGGCCTTGAAGGAGAATTCGGAGATGCGTACAAGATCGAGAAAAACATCTCCCGGATGGAGCTACCGAGTAGTTACTTGGAGCAGATGCGGTTTCTTTTGAACAATAAAAGACGAATGGTTATCATGGCTAACGTGAAGGTTATGCATAATTCTCGCGGAACACTGTTTTCTCTAGAACGCAGAAGGAAAGGTATGAACTGTCTAACAAATATTAATGACAAATCAAGCAGATTTACTTTATTTTTACGAAATCATATATTATTTCTGCGCAGAGACCAGTACGTGTTAGTAATACAGGACGTTTGTAGGACATCAAGCGGTCGACATTACCATGACTGAATAACCGCTGACCTTTCCCTGTGTGCTTATATCCCATGTGGGAGCCTTGTACAGAATTAAATTTAGATTTGTGGTACTATAATACCGTACTTCTCGAAATAAGCCCAGGGCGATCACTTAAAATACTAGGCGCTTACTCGAAGTATAATCGAGGGTAACCGCTTATTAAGTTCAACTAACTGAAGCGTTACTTTTGAAGAAACAACTTCAATTCTATTTCAAATTAACAAAAAAGAACTCTGCAAGCGCATAAACACATAATGATAGAGGTGAATGGAAACGATTGATAGGCAAAGAATCTGCTCTTTAGCAGGTGAAAGAGAGGCTTTCATTTGTGATCTCCTACCCAACTGCCGCTATTCAATATTCTTTATTACTGGTGTGAGACAAATTTGTTTTCCAGGTTTTAGAACCAAAAAAAATTACATAGGAAAAAGGAAATGGCAATGGAGAAGATATTTTGACTTTTGCGACCTTCGACTGAGGTTGACTAGTGATAAGAAAGGTCTTTTTCAAATGCGATATCTTTTCAGGTCAGGTCTTTTTGTCTGTATGGGTAGCCTGTTATCGGACTTGTCGCCTGGGAATTACCTACCAAACGTCACAGTTGCAACCTCAAGATGTTTCTTTCCATCGTGTTGGCAAATTGTCTGACGGGCGATGGCACAAAATTGCGCTCTACCTGTTTCCTCACAGCCATTTGGGGAAAACAGCTGTTGAGTTGTCCGTTGATTGTAAGATGCTGGGTAGAAAAAAGATAATGTCAAGAATCGAGAATCTTGTTCTATCGTCAAGGGATGTGGTGTTCTTGTTTGCCCAGAGAGGTGTAGGGAAGGAAAGCGCCATGTTGACTTGGAAGGTAGGTTGCAATCCATGCTTGAAAAAACTAATGCAAGTTGTTTTTGTAAGGTTTCCAAATAGGAGAAAGAATGTGTACAAATATGTTAGAATGTTTGTTATGCATTCAAATGACGTCCGTTATGCAAAATAACTGACAGTTACCGTAGATAGATAGATAGATAGATAGATAGATAGATAGATAGATAGATAGATAGATAGATAGATAGATAGATAGATAGATAGATAGATAGATAGATAGATAGATAGATAGATAGATAGATAGATAGATAGATAGATAACTTTATTTAAACACGGTTAAAATTCCTTCAGCATGTACAAAAAATCTAAGATCTATTATACCTAACTAAACTAACTCTGATTAAGAATATACTCATAAAATTTTAACTACCTAGCTATTTACAAAAGCTGCTTTTCAAGGATGCCGTGTAAAACTGTATTAATGTATGATCTCATTCAAAACTGTTGCGACACAGTTTACGTTTAAAATCATGTAAAGAATCTGCAGATCTTAAATCATGGGATAGGCTGTTCCACAGCTTAGCTCCGCTATAGGAGATACTTTTCTTTAAATAATTGGTACGGGGCAGTGGAAGGACTAATTTATTTTCAGTATTCCTCAATCGATAAGAAGTTATTTCGTCACGAGATACAAATTTAGATGTTAGATAGTCGGGAGTCATCCCATGTACGGTTTTATACATCATAATAGCCGTCGATACTTGTCTTTGGTGTTTAAGCTTACGCCAACCCAGTGCCAGGAACAAATCGTCCACATTACAATCAGAATTAGCGGACATTAGAATACGGGCTGCACGATTTTGGAGCCTCTGCAGCTTATCGGAAAGACCAATGCCGCAGTTGCTCCATACGACATTACAGTAATCAAAATGCGGTTGAATTAAACTGTCGTAAACATTAATTAATACATTAAAAGGAATAAGATGTCGTATTCTTTTAATTGCACCCAAAGCAGAAGCAATCTTTTTACAAATACTCTGTATGTGGCATTCCCAGCTTAAGTTTTGGTCAATATGCACTCCAAGAGATTTTGCCGTTGACACTTGCATCACTGGATGGTCGTTAATCATAAAAGAAGGAGTTTCAGAAAGCTTTGATAGCTTCTGCCTAGAAAATTTGCCTTGTATTCTGTAGTTAAGCCGCCGATAGCCATATATACACCTTGTTTAAATCGTCGTTAACGCAGTCATTTATGATTTTTAAATCTGCGCTGGCATAGGTTAGGCTGGTGTCATCGGCATACATTCTAGGTTGTGAAAAATGCAAGCAATTAGGTAGGTCATTAATATACAGTAAAAACAATAAAGGTCCAAGCATTGTTCCCTGGGGAACACCACATGTAACTAATTTTGGGTTTGACATTGAGCAATTAATTTGGCAAGTTTGGGTACGATTGTTTAAATACGAAGTAAACCATTCGTGACAGGAACCGCGTAATCCATAATATTGTAATTTCGTTAACAAGATATGATGATCAACTGTGTCGAAAGCCTTTTTTAAGTCTAAGAAGACAACGGCATTGACAAGGCCACGATCAACGTTCACTGCCCAGCTATCGGTAGCTTCGAGTAATGCGGTTACAGTAGAATGTAAAGAACGAAAACCAGATTGGTAACGGGATAGAATACGATTCTCAGTAAGATAGTGATACAACTGGTCGTAGACTACCCGTTCAAATACTTTGGCCACGACTGGGATCACCGATATTGGTCGATAATTGGTGGGATCATTTCGTTTACCAGAATTTTTATGAAATGGAGTAACCCTAGCCGACTTCCACTCATCGGGAGAAATTCCTGTCAAAAGTGATTGATTAAATATTAAAGTAAGAGACTCGGCAATTAGATCAGGGCACTCCCTTAATAATTTAGCTGATATACTATCTAATCCAGTGGCCTTTGATTTACAAAGTTTTGAAAGGAGAGAATAAATATGAGAAGATGTTATTTCCTTGAAAACAAACTCCTTAGAAGTTCCACAAAGAAACTCTTTGTAGGTGGTATCAACATTCGAAACATTTCGACTAAGCCTTGGTCCAATCTCAATGAAGAAAGTGTTCAACAATTCAGCAACTTCTGCTTGATTGCTCGATTTTAGTCCCTGATATTGTATTTCATTTATTATTGTTTTATTAGATTTGCGGGAAGTCAATTCATTAATGGTCTTCCAGGTCTTACGTTGATCACCGGCATAATTATTAAAAGAATTATTATAATAGGCCTTTTTAGCAGCCTTGATTTCCTGATTTACTTTATTTTTGACCTTCCGGAATCGATTCCAAGAGAACGCATCCTTAGTTTTAACAGCTTTTTTCTTTAGCCGGTTTCTGAAATTCATTCGTTTTTTTCAAATTTGTGGTAATCCAAGGAGACTTGGTGGGACGGGTGCGTTTAGTTTTCACAGGGGCGTGCTTATCACAAACACTTAGGAATAATTGATTATTGATTTCTAAATGTTTATGTTCCTTTTGATTGATTTCATGGAAACAGCTCTCTGTTTGAGGAAAGGGTGAAAAAATCGCTTTCCCCAAACAGAGAGCCTGTTCACAGGCTAATTTATGTGTATATTATATGTTGTAGTTAATTTTTTATCTCAGGTAATTTATATTTTTCCTTTGTTTCAACTTCATTAGCGTGCCATAACCAAAAACAAAAGAAAAGCAAAAATTACCCGAGATAAAAAATACCTGCAACATATATTTTAGTATGGCACTTGAATTAGTTCAAAAAAAGGGTGGTGGCTTTCATCTTTCCTTGGCTTCAATACGAAGAGGCCCCCATTTATTACCACGCTGGGCTAGAGGCACAAATCTGCACACGTTGAGCTTATAATGATCCTGCCAACTAGTTTAGCTTTTTAGTTATTTTGGGTGTCCCACTACGGTATGTATTGTTTATTTAATTATGTCTTGTAAATTATTTAGTTGTCTGTCTACAGTAGTAGAAATAAACTGATTGATTGATTCCCACCAGTTGTTTTCTAAACCTGACAGTAAACCTTACTTAAGTCATGGATAAGCACTTTGTCCTGGTTGCAAAAGTCACGGAAGAGCTGTTGCAAGGACTGAGCAAAGAGGACATGTTGTGCCCTCAATCGTGACATTTTATTACACTGCATTAAATTACGTTGCGTTACCTTACGTTACGTTACTACTTGCATCTAACGCTTATTTCGTTGGTTTTAGGGTAGCCTTCAGAATTTCAAACTTTTGTTTCACGAAGCAATTGAGGAATTGATGAACAGCACAAACTGCTCCTGGCCTAGTTCCAATGTTTTTATGGATGATGGAGATCAACAGCAATTTGAAGCTGGTAAGATAGACAACGTACGGCAATCTGCACAGTTTTAAAAAAGCTGTTCCGGGTAAACAAGGAGTAGTTCTTTTTTGAATGTCCTCACTGACTACTTGGCTAGTCCGCTACTGAGAGTAGACGCGACATGAGCCGCATGCGCATTAACCCTTTAAGCCCTAAGAGTGATCAGCATCAAATTTCTCCTTGTAATATCAATGCTTTGTAAAACAGAGTGTTCATGAGAATTACGGACATGATCACACAAGATGAATTTGCTTGATATTTTATCAACTTCTCCCCACTACTTCTGTAGGAAATGAATAGGGGCAACAAACGAGAATTCAGATTTTGATCTTAGGGTTTAAAGGCTTTACACAAATAAAATCTTTGCGCCTATGCTTATGATCTTCCCAATGAGAGCATGCTGGACATGCGCATAGGGACAATGGCAAGCAACCAATTCCCGTATTGGAAAAAAGGATCGCCAATTTTATTTTTTATGTTACTACTTTCAAGTCATTTAAAAGCAGTCTGCTTTGCAAACGTTTTTACATTGGGGCCTAAATGTCTGTTACAGCGAATCTACTGACATCGCGATCTCAGATCAGCAGGGGAGAGTTCATAGGTTCACCAGCAGGACATGCCGAATTACCTTCTCTACGCTACTCCATTCAGGATGTGATGATGGTACTGGTTAGCATGCAAAAAGAGGCTCAGAGACGTGAGGAAAGTTTTCAGAGATCACTTATGAAAGTCAAGGAGAAGCTGCAATCCCAAGTAAGTTATCAGACCATTTAGATCATAACCACTATTTACCTTTCCGTCCTTTGATTTGGCGTTTAATTTCTTTTCTTCTGTGGACGAAACCCCAAATGTAGTACAGTATAGTCAAACCAGTTTGATACGGACGACAAATAGTGTCAGATCCAAATTTCGGTCTGTATTCTGTGTATATTGGCTGAAGGATTGCCGGCTCAGCTTGTCAAGGAAGCTTTATTAGCTTCAGAACTCGGCTTACTGTATAAGGCTTCCAAACAGAGTTAAAAAACTCATAAATAATTCACAAAGAAAAAACAAAAGAAATTAATGATTAATAAGTGTCGTTATATCTGATAAAGACACGGCTAAACTTTACATCCAATTTTTTAGACCAAAATAACCCCAAATCTAAATATTAGTGCAAGAATGACTTGAGCAATGCAAAACTCTCAGCTTTGCCTCGAGTTTTTAAAGCTGATAATACACTCCTGCCCGTTTTCTTAAACAGTACAAAGAATGTGTAAAAATATGTTGCTTTTTTTATAGTAGTTATCCATTAAAATGGCCGTTAAGCAAATAAGTACAGTGGCAGTTACAGATTTCAAAATTGTAATGTGCTTTTATGGCTATTAAAGATAGTACCTTATTAGCTTCAGGGCTCGGCTTAGTGTTCATTTTCCATGGATTTTCTTCGCCATCCCAATTATTCCGGGGAGATACTATGTACCCTAGGGGTAGTAGCTCAACTTCAGCTCAGTAGGATGCCTAAAATGTGTGCAATTCCACAACTGGCTTCGGCTCCATTCACAATCATACACCAACAGCGGAACATTTTATGGAAGAAGCTACCCCCAATATGAGTTAGCATACTTACACTGACATGGTTTGTTTGAACGGTTTGTTTGTTTGTAATTTGCCTCCTCTGAACATTGTGTTGTTTTTGTTCCTCTGTTCTTTCGTTGTATTTATTGTTACTCCACTTTACTCATTTAGTATTTCTGTTAGTCCTTAGACGTTGATTCTATCAAGGAAACACTGGAAAACGGAGTCTGTTCCAATCGCGCCTACTCTCCAGGGACAGCAAATGGTAATAACGGATTTCTTAAGATAAACACTAAAACGGAAAACATAGACGTCGTTCGGAAAGGTAAAATTTTGCGATATAAATGCAATGCAACATGATCTCGTTTTTCGTTTGCATTTATTATTTGGCTCACTGTGTTGATATCCGCTGACCTAACTTTCCGCACAGTTAACCTTAATTTCCGTTGGCCGCATGATCAGGACTGCTGACTTTTAACCCTTAACGGATCAACTCGCGCGTTAACGGAATAACAGATTGTAACGCAGGTAACCAAAGTTAGTTGTAGTCTTGCGTTGTGATCCGCATATATTATATTTCTCACAATACTGACCTATATTAATTGGAACTTTAAGTAATTAAATTTTTTCGTCGATTGAGTTGATTACGTCAAGACTGCAACTGTCTTTTTGTTTGTTTGTTGTTTCACTGCAGTAAGACCTTCCCACATTCCATTTCGATGTCATTCATTGTATTCAGCCCTGTGTGTTCCCTGTGTGCTCTATGTTTCTGATGGTTTTCTTGGTCTTCTTGGCCTTTTCTTTCGAAAAATTCCAGCGGGCAAACAAGACGGCTATGCGCGTACGCTGCAGCTGAATCCAGCCTTAAAGAACTTTGGATATTCACTTTTTAGGAGAACAAAATGTCTGAAGAATGACAGGGATCAACTCTAGTGCTTGGTTATTAAAACAGAACCCAATCCCTTTTAAATTTGGCCATCCATCACTTTTAAACATTGTTTGGTGTTAGGGTTCGTTTGAGTAACCGGCCCTTTAGTGTCCATTTAACTGAGGCCCAAAAGAGGTGTGGTCTTGAAGAGATAGTCGACTGTATAGACTTCTATTTAACTCAAGGGGGCTAAGAAAAATGAAAAAAGTTGGAAATAGGTGACGTGGAGGAAGGACGCAATGTATTCGCTTTAAATTTAGGCCCTGTCCACACTAATGCGTTTTCAAAAGTACGCGTTTTCATTGTTATCGAAAACGCATCGATCGATTCGCGTCCACACTACCGTTTTGATGCGTTTTCGACTGCCCACGCTAAAACTTTCAAAAACGATAGAATTGCACGTTGAGACGGAAGTTGAACTCTATGTGTATTCTGCAAACACAGACGCCTATGACTGATATTTTCGTCCATTTTCATTCTGATGCGTTTTCGATCGTTCACACTATTGCGATATGTATGAGTTTTCGTTTTCGTCCACTTTCAAACGCGTTTTTAGATCGATGCGTTTTTGATGAAAATGCTCAGCGTTCTAGTGTGGACGGAAGGCTTAAACGCATCCAGATGTATGTGTTTTCAAACGAAGACGCATGGTTGTGGACGGGGTCTTAAAGCACGAGTTGATGGATTTACCCGATATTTTTTCTTGAGTGTGTTTTCTTGGGTTGTTTTAGAGAACAAGTGTTCATTAAAACCGTGTTTCCCCTTCGTGGACTGCGAGGAGACTCCAGGCGTGGGGCTTGGGTTCAAATGTGGTGAATGCCCACCTGGTTACTCAGGAGATGGAATCAGATGTAATGACGTTAATGAGGTAAGAAATGATATACAGTTCATAAGACTCGATTGTACAGTTTTGATAACCTGTTGTTTGTCCCAGCTGTTTTAAAAAGTAAAGTTAGTTAAGATTATTTTGTCGCTTTCCAGAGCCTGTTGTTTTCAATAAGATAATAATTCTCCTCGCGCTTGAAGTGTACTGTATGAGATGATTATAGCTAAGTACCATCTGATATATAACCCGCGTTCTTGGGAACGTCGTAAGGTATAAAGGAACACAGTGTGCAACAGCTAGTTTGACAATTTGCATTGTTTTAGTGGGCAGACGGATTTCTCGAAAGGAGAGATACCGGTTTTCGTACATACCATGGCGCTCCACTTGCCGTCCTTGGCTTAGCCATCGATTTCATTAAGGAATACGCAGAGTAGTTAACATTACCAAAATTGCTGTATTGTTTTTCTTGTCCAAATGGCTTCTGCTGATCAACAGCTGTGCCAGACGGCCGTTGCGGAATCAAATAATTCAGTAAATAGACAGCGTATTGCTGACAAATCCAACGAACTTTTAAAATAACCTAAGCTTTGAAGTATGGTGCCTAACTTCGATAAATTCTCTCGTTTCACCGCGGTGAACACTCCTGAAATGTCTAACCTACAATAGCTAGACTAGTTTAAAAATTCTTTGCCATAGGAAATTTCATTTTCACTTCGTTTCACTTTTTTTCCCTTCTAGTGCTTATATGATCCTTGTTCTCCTTACACAACTTGTACTAACCTTCAGCCGGGTTATGAGTGCGCTACCTGCCCCAAAGGATTTGTGGGAAATTCTACCATTGGAATAGGAAGAATGTTTGCTGAGAACATCAAACAGGTAACAGCAAACCTTAGCTGAGAAATCTTAGTTTGAAGACTGGTCTAAAACTCCGGTGACTCTGTGGACACGAAGTCCCACTGCATACAACGTGCTCTGCTGCAAGTGCTGTTGCATTTACCATGAAACAACTAGCAGTCGAAACTTTGTAGAAGTGTGCGAGCAGAAACTGAAAATTCAGTTACACCTGTATGGTTTTTCTGGCGGTCAAAAGAAAAGCCAGTAGTGTCTTTGAAAAAGTATGAATCTAGCCCCTGCCTAAATCATAAAAACAATTTCAGTGAACTTCCACCTTATCAGCGACCTTGGTTTTACGACCTTATTTCTTTCGGCGCAAACTAAAAAAAAAACGGTCTTTCTGTGAAAACCCCTAGCTCCTCCCTGTACGATCACCTCCTTCATACGACCAGATTTTTATGGCCCTTACAGGATGCAGTTGGTAGGTGGTTAGACTGTAGTATTTCGTTTTAGTTGGTTGGAGGGCAGAGACCGCCAGCTTATACGTCAGGGCCGAATCGCTCATCCTTATGATGAGGCACAAGTCCACCTGGCTAAGTTGTGTTTGTTTGAGTGTTTCTTCTTCTTCTTTTTTTTTTTTTCGTTAGATCTGCAACGACATTGATGAGTGTAACGACGGCAAGAATGGCGGCTGCTCAGTTCATTCCACCTGTGTAAACACACCGGTAGCTACTTTTGCACGATAATTGCCGTATTTTATCGAATCAGCGCTCAAAGGGCCAGTAGGTTCGATGGGGGCGCAGGGGTAGGGAGCGGGGGGCGGGGAGATTATTCGAGGAGAGACGCTAAAACAACCAAACAATTACCAGGACTAAGAATTTGTTTCTATCATGTAGCTTTCATTAAAAAAAGTCAGATTCATGGTATTTCATGTCTTTGCGAAAGTTAACTCGACCCAGTTTCCTCGTTTCTAAAATAACGAATTATAGAAGGGACGAGTATTTACAGAGGAGTTGTTTGGGTGTACAAACGCTTTGCAAGTACACGAACGCATCAGGCACGGGCTATAAATTGCAAGAAAAAATCAATTTGTTTTTTTAACCTCAATTGCTAACTGGTGGCTATAATTTTAAGTGTATGTTATGGTAATAAACTTAGAGTAGCCCCGTGAATGAATTCTCACTGTTTTTAGCGGGGAGGGGAAGGTGTTTATTCGAGGGGAGGTTCATATTTCAAATTTCGTGTTTAATGGAGGCGCTAAATCGCGAATGGGGGAAGGGTGCTTGTTCAATCAATAATAGCATTTGCTCTACGATGTATAACACACAGCTTTTAGCTTAAGGTGCCCTCGTTACGCCCCTTTCTCTCGGTTTTCCGCGTTGGAGTGGCACTGGGGGTCAAATCAGAGTTAATAGTTATTAAACAGTAAACGCATCCACTTTCTTGCCTCATACAGTAGTTTGTGTTCTTTTATAAACGTTGGTGTTATTTTTTGTTTTAAAACTGTTTTTGTGGGCCAATAACATGGTTTCTGTCGATATTATCCTAATTCTTTATTACTCCGCTAATTCAGGGAAGCTATTCTTGTGACTCATGCCATAAAGGATATGTTGGCGACCCTTACAATGAATGCGTCCGTATCAGGTATTGCTCGGGAGATCCGAACACAAATCCCTGTGGAAAAGGCGCTGAATGTATACCAATAAAGGAGGGAGCATATTACAAATGCAGGGTAAGGCATTTCCGAACGAAGAGGCCTCTCCCCAAAAAAAAGCCCTAGACTAAGCGCTCCCGGTCACACAATTATACAGGGCCATTTTGGTTCACCTCATTTTGTTTAGAACCCGGAAAAAACGAGGGCTGCGCTATACATCTCTTAGTAAGAAGCATTATTATTGGATGAGACTAAGTATGATATGAGGTGTACTGATCGAAGGGTGTATTCGGAAAAAAGCCCCAGCCCAACCCCGAGATCGATGATTGTTTTATTCATTTCAAGTATTTCAAGGTATCGGCGGATGTAGTCATCTTCCAGATATTACTCAAAAGCAGTTGACATCCTTCGGGCGGTACATTTTGGATTTGTACTCTTTTCCTTGCTATCGTTAGAAGTCTTCCGCAATTTGTTTTTCTGTTTGAGCTCTGAACTGGCCCTCGAAATTGCTGGACCGCTTTGTCGCTCCCTTCGCTTGACGTCAATTGGCTTACAATTTTTCTGTTATTTTACGATTGACATCTGTAGTAAAACAATAAAAATAATTACTCCAACTCTTCCAAATTTGGTTCGCACTAGCTAGTTATGAAAAAAAGTTAACGGAAATAAAAATAGGAAAAAGAATGAATGAATTATAGTGTGTTTACATAACATAAAACGTAGAGTAATTAGGGTGCGTTTTGTTCTTGAGACGCTTTGATTGGTTACAAATACCTTCCTCTTCTCTCTCCATCCTTATCGACTAAATAAGTAAACACAGTTTTTAATGGTTATACACAGCTACTGGTAAACTTAGTAGTTTTCATTATGGCTCAAATATGCGTAAAAAGCTAATGAAAGTATCAAGCTCATCAGCTTATCTTTTGAGGACAACTTACCTTAATTAAGGAAGGTTGGTTCCGCTTACTCCAGGTAGTCACTCGTCCTTTTTTTCTATCTGTGCATTTAGCCAAGTGAATACAATACACACTGTTGCTTGTGTCGTGGTTGTAAAACTAGTAGCTCTCCAAAATAAATATAAATGATGTTTTGGCAACTCTTGATGATCGCTCTTTGTTTTCCAGTGTAAACCTGGTCTTGGCGGAAATGGATTCCTGTGCGAGATCGATTCAGATATGGATGGACTTCCAGATAAGGCACTGAATTGTAGCGACCCGCGCTGTTTCAAGGTGTGTGATGTATAATTAATTCCGAGTCCGCAAAGCAAAGACCCTTCACTGAGAATTCACGCCCCGTCCTTGTTGTGTCCCGGGGGGAGTTGCGTTACTGGTGCTGATTTGACCTTAACTTTTAATATGTTGATTCTCTCACTCTTTCGATAATTAGGACAACTGCAAAAATGTTCCAAACACAGACCAAAAGGACAAAGACGACAATGGAGTTGGAGACGCTTGTGATTATGATTCAGATGGCGATAGATATCCTGACCATTGGGTAATTCAGTAATTTGGGTATTCTATTACTTCTGTACGCGAGTTGATACCTTAGAGCTCAATGCTATTAGTAAGAGTTATGGGGTTGGTCAATAGGTCAGTTGAGTGGAATTTGTGACCCATTCCTGAAAGCCGGACGATTAGTGCTAAACGAAACAAAACCAAAAATAGTTTAGTGAGCAAAACGACACCTCTGCAGTCCATAGTCAGAGGGGAAGGAGAGAGGGTTGGAGTACAGGAGACCAGAGGGAAAAGGGCGGAAGGTGGAAATTCTAGAAGGGTGGCACGCGGGAAAAGGGCTGTGCCCAGAATTATCACGCCTTTAATTTCGACTAACCCTTTATGCGAGAGCATTTGCTGCAATGCCAATTTGTAAAGTAGCGAAGTTTTTTGTTCGTTTTTCTTCGGAGGTGTTGGAAATGTCTTTGATAACTGCTTAATATTTCGCATTCTGATAAAGGCTGAAGGGAGGAGGCCGAAAATGCAAGGTACGGGAGGCAAGGGAGGTTTGAACCCCGCATCTCCCCTCCCCAGCCCTAACTAGTCAACTACGACGTGAGACGATCAAGCGTTTCGTAGTACTGACTGGTGTTTGAAGCATTCCAGGCCTTTCTTTATTATCATTTTAGGACAACTGTCCCGATGTTTCTAACAGACGTCAGACTGATAAGGATAGAGATAGAGTCGGTGACGCCTGCGATAATTGTGCTAAGACCTCCAACCGTGATCAGAAGGACGTGGATGGAGATGGTGTCGGAGACGCGTGTGATGATGACGCTGATGGTGATGGTAGGTTAACCAGGGCTGTCTAGGTAGAGGAAACAGTAGGACACGGCTGTGCATGATGTTGATGCATTTTTTTAAAATGCATCGTTGGCTAAACTCAACGAGGAGAAGTTGTCTTTAGTAAGAGAGACGCTACTGGAACAGTCTATATAACGGCCTGTGCATATATGGGCAGTCGGTCGGCAGGCTCGGTTGACCGGGTTAGCATGGTGTTGCGTCTTTATGAGGAAGAATTTACAAAAGAAATACGAACGAAGTAAGATTTTCGTCAACCGAGCTTGTCTGAAGAGGCCCTCAGAAAGAAAAGTGAATGCAAACATTCCGTTGCGTTGTCTTGACTACGCAATAAGGAGAGGAAAATCTTCTAGCTCCTGTTACTGATCTAGATATATGGACCCTTTTACGTCACGTTTCGTGTCTCTCTCTTTTCCGACTCCTTTTAGCGTTCCTCCTCCGGCGCGAAGGGCTGTGCACAGAATTATCAAGCCTTGAATTTCCGAATACCTCTTTACCAGAGCATTTGCTGGAATGTGAATTTGTAAAGTAGTGACGTTTTTTATTCGTTTGTCTGTGCAGGTCTTAGAAATATCTTTGATAACTGTCCGCTGGTTCCAAACAGAAAGCAAAGAAATAGTGATGGTGATAACGTCGGAGATGCGTGTGATAACTGCCCTACCACCGACAACCCCGATCAGGCAAGTAATTGACATGAGAAATCTCCCTACCTTCCTGTAACTTCCTGGCGTTTTATGAGAATAGGGCACTTGTTCGTGGCTTATTTTGACGACTAAATTTCACGTTGCAAAGTATAAACAGTCTGCTCAATATAGGACCGTCAATGATTCCTCCCGTCGAGGTTTTTGTATATTTTATTTCTCTATCTCATTCGTATTTTAATTCCTTCTAGAATGACAAGGATAAAGACGGCTGGGGAGACGCGTGCGACCGGGATCGAGATTTGTAAGAGTTACGCTCCGTAGCTTGACACATTTCATGATTATTACATTAAATACTATTCTAGCGCTGAGTCACATCCAAATCAATACTTTTTTGACGTTTTACCTCTCTCTGTTACCTCGTGCTCAACGTATTGACGGGCACGAACAAAGTTAATTAAAAACCGACCCTTTGAAGACAAATTCGAACCAAACAAAGCCTTAGGAACTGACACGAGACTATACGCAGGCTGAAACAATTAGTCAATTTCAGTTGCAATTCTGGGTCGCTGGTGGTATTCCCGTTAGGGCCAACATGCGCACCAAAGGTCTTCAGCGCCTAGTTAAAAACCTTTGATGGAGGCTGTCCTCACTGTAAATCTCATCCCCTTCGTCTTGGATTCTTTACATGCAGTGACAACGACGGAATAGAAGACAAGTTTGATAACTGCTTAAGTCAACCAAACCCGGATCAAATGGACACAGATCTGGACGGAAGAGGTAACAACTAGCGTTTCATAACTGAAAGGAAAAGCTCTCGTTAAAGTGCAAATCAACTTCTTGACAGTACTGTTTGTTTCAGGTGATGTTTGCGATAGCGATGATGACGAAGACGGTGTTGTTGACTTCAGAGACAACTGCAGACTGGTTTTTAATGTCGATCAAAAGCAAACTAAAAGTGGGTGTTTATCCTTTATACTACGTTAATGTTGTTAATGTATTTTAATGTATTCTCTGAAAGATCAGAATCCCGAACACTTGTAAAGTACCTTGTAAGGGCTCGTAAGGCCCTTTTTAAACGACGAACTATACGTGATCGAATTTAATTTAAACGACTTTATAAAAAAACAGTTTTTCTAATAAATATGAAATTCGGCACATGTTAACCTCGAAGTTTAAACTGGTTCAAGTTACGCCTAACTACCTCACCCTCCTGATAAAAACATGCAATAGAATGTATGGATTTTTAGGGTCCAATACGATATTTTGGGAAATTACTACCAAAACAAGTAGACCGCGAATTCAGAGATACGCTCGACAGTTGATTTTGGCGCCAGACGTTAACTTGGTTTCTATCATGTAATAGCTTCGACGTTTGTCGTTTGGTACGCCGAGTATGAAAGAAAATTACAGCTGTTACGATGGCCTTATGTTACCTTTTCGATGGAGACAACAAAATTACCTCATCTTCCGTTGACAAAAAAAATAAAGAAAAAGCACAGAGATACTTAACGTAGAATGCTTAATGAAGTGTATTGAGATCTACTTGGAATTTTACAAAATTGCTTCTGCTTTTTCGCATACTTTTAGGTGATTTACACGGTGACGCATGCGTAGACGACTATGATGGCGACGGTATCTCAGACCAAGAGGACATGTGTCCCACGGACCCTAAAATATCAAGATTTGACTTTACCGGTTATACGACGCTAATCCTTGACGCTGAAGGTAGCGAGCAAGATAAACCTTTTTGGAAAGTAAACAAAAAGGTGGGCAGGTCAATTTCATGTTTTAAGATTCTCAGCAAACTTAAGCCCCTAAAACGGTGTACGCTACGTGTCAGTTTAGGAAAGGCAACTCGTCGACAAATGAGAACGCAGAAGAGTCCGGTGCTCTATTTTTCGCCCTTCCATCGGTCAGGTCGATTTTTAAATCTGAGCGCGCCGTCTCCAATATCTTCACGTTGTTTGCCTTTGCTAACTCTACTTAACTCGCGACGGTCAAGTAATCATTGGAGTTAAAACTGTCCTCGAGTATGATTTTGGTTACCAAAGTCAAGGACAGTGGTAAGACGTGCCGTTTTTGTATCTTCTGACCCAAAATATTGCTCCTTCATATTATAGGGAGATGAAATCCAACAGGTCGTCAACAGCGTTGCGACAATCTTCACTGGTAATTTGAAATTAATAACATTGCATTATAAAGGCAGCAGTTTTTAGAACCTTTTTAAGGTAGCTTGCGATTATGCCCTCCCTATATCCTAGCCTTTTCCAGGCTCCGAGATGGTTGTGGAAAGTCGTTCAGTAATAAGAAATCCCAAGTCGTGCCCGTCTTATTTTCGCTTTGCTCGTTTTAGTACGTTCCCACTATACTATCTGAGAGCCTGGCACAGGCTACCTATATCCCTGTATGTCATTTTCCAGAAATAAAGGGTTGAAATGCCTGATAGTAAGTTGGTTATAAATCAGATCCGCTCCGGCCAATCATAACAGCTGCACTCAGTAGAATAAACCAATCAGCAAATCTGATTAAACAGCTATTAGTTAAGAACAATGAAACAGTTTCATAACTAACGTGAAATTTTATGCTTAGCTACTGCAACTGCAAGACGCGCAAGTGTCTTTTTCTTAATTCATGACTAGCTTTTCTTTTTTACCTTTCATCGATCAACGCTAGGAAACCAAGTGTTTCGCGATGTGGAATACAGTGGTACGTTCTTTGTAAATACTCGATCTGATGATGACATTATTGGCATTGTATTTGGCTATCAAAGTCCCAGGAAATTCTTTGTCGCATCGTGGAAGCAGTCAAAGCAAGTTTACTGGGACAGCAGACCGTTCCGAGCCAAAGCAGAAGCCGCGCTCAATTTAAAGGTGACTTAAGACTTTCCCCACGAAGCTATTTTCTTAATATTTCCGACGTCCCCTATCCTTTCAAAAATGTATTCGAAAATTCACTTTGTTAATGGCCCTTCGTGAACTCTTCGGAATGTTCTTTGTCAAACTCAAAACTCTACGAACACTAATTGTAGCTTTTGTTCTTTAAGAGTTTATCACATCCAAGGCCCTATGACCGTGGGTTGATAGACGTACCCACCAACCCACGTTCTGTACAAACAACGGAGAAATTCAGAGCTGCTTTCTAAATGGAATCCATTTCATACTGAAAGGGATAAGAAAAACATAACCTTTTGGGCTCTGGTACATCAGTTTCATACTAGAAAAGTGCATTATCCACTAGCTTCAGTTCATTGTTTTGATGGATATGACCACAATTTAACTTGCATTGCTTTTGTCTTTTAGAAAATTCACTCTGTCAGTGGCCCTTCGCGAACTCTTCGGAATGTTCTTTGGCACACTGGAAACACTACAAACGAGGTTTTTTATTCATTTGTATTTTTGTTTGTTTGTTTGTTTTTATTTTTTTTCCTGATCCTTACTTTGTTCACACCGTGGCTCAAATGTGTTTCAACTGTACTATCATCTCCAAACACTCATAATGGCCTTTAAAACTGCAATTACTTCCGGTTGATCTGAAGGGTTTCCATCGAATAACATTTGATATATAAGCAAGATGTTTTTTAAAAAAGTCTTGTTTTTCTTCGGTGTGGTTCAATAAGTTTTTGGTGGCTAAAAACGTTTGCGCGCGTTTTTAGAATAGTAATGGGCCATTTGCACGATAACGTGATTTTACCACTAACACCAGAATCCTTTAGAGTTTGCCGTCTTTCTTGTGCAGTTTATGGCTTTTGTTAATTGAACCTCGCTGGGATTACAAGAACGTTAAAGGAAAACCGGCAGTACTCAATCTTTCTAATATTTACATCATCATTACAATTCCAGTTAAATAATTGTTTACGTTTACATTTCTATTTTTCATTTGCGTTCACACTTCAAAGGCCACACTTCTTTGGATTGATCCTAAGAAGCGGGGATGGCAGGATCTGACTGCGTACAGATGGCAACTTATTTATCTACCATCCAAGAACTCTATGAGGTGACAATCTAAAATAATGGTAGCTACAAACGTGAATAGTTACCATCAATAACAAACCAGACAGGGGGAATATCTGGCTGGTTGGAGTTCGACAAATGGTCGCGGGTCGCGGGTTGTATGTTGCGGGTGCGGGTTAGAAGTGCGGGTGCGGTTGAATATCGTGGGTGCGGGTTGAAAGTGGCGACCCGCGACCATTAGTCAAATTTGGCTGCATGGAGGAACTGAAAGTACCTGTCAAGTGTCGTAGGTCAGCTGTTGTTCCAGTTTGTTAGACATATCTTCCTCTCTTTTGTAAGCGTTGAAGTCTCGAAAATATTTTGGGTGCGACAGAAATGTTTTGTTGATTGCATGAAGTAAGGTACGTTTGAGGTAGCTAGGAATACTTCCCAATTACCCTACGCTCGCTGAAACGCGGGTTGTAACGGAGTAAAAAGTGATTGCTAAAACAGGGGTACGTTAAATGGGAATCCTGGTCCGTACATCTTACTAACACTGGAGTTTAAAATATCGTGCGTTATATTCTGGTTGTTGTTTGAAAGGCTCTTAGTTATAACGGATTTCCACTGTGGTGGCTTAATCTTCTGCACTTGTTTCTTTGCTGAACAGTATTTTTCATACTTGTGCCGTGGAGCTACGGACAACCCTCAGATGCTCAGTAAAGACTTCGAAACCAGTTAGCGTTGGGTCAAGTCTAATTGGTATCGTGCTTTTTAGTATAACCGAGAAGAGTTTAAGATTCGCTAAAATGTCGTGTTTATTTTTTGTTTGTCCACTTAGGCTTAAGATTTGGCTCAAGTATAACAAGTTAATGATGGACACCGGGGAGATAAAAGATCCAGACGTTGGAGCCGGGAAACTGGGTTTGATGAGCTTCTCGCAAGAAAGGGTGATCTGGTCTGCAGTATCTGCTCAGTGTCTTAGTAAGCACATCCTCTCTCGTCCACGTACGATTACCGTTAAGATTTTTATATGAGTATAATAGTACAGCTTTACCTTTGTAATGAATGAAGGTGATAAATTTTTGCCGATATAGTAAAATAGGGAGGCTGTGGTAAATGATAAAATTAATGGCCTTGCAGTCCACGAGTCTCTCCGTAGATCAGTGTATATGGCCGGTATCTACCCGGTGTTTGCGATGTTATGCACGCTTCGAGTCCCGTTCAGGTTTGTTCCATCGCTCGTCTACAACGACGACGATGTCGACGACGGCGGCGATGGCAGCGAAAGCGACTCGCTGCTACACTATCGAAATAAATCCGTTTTTGTTTCAAGCGTTGGCGCGATTATTCCAGCTCCCTTCAAATTTCAAATGTAGGTGAAATTTGCTGGAGTTGAATTTTTGGAGACCTCACCCATGTTTAGAAAGAGAAAGAAAAATTCATCTAGATATGTTTACGTCCTCCAGGAAAAGGCGCGTCAGGACATTTCACGTCGTAGTCGGCCAGTAATGGCAAAGAAAGGTATCAAAAAGTGTGATGCACATGCAGAGTGGTTTAGCTTATCAAACCTGTTGCTTTTTTTTCTTTACGTCAGGAACGTCAACTTTCTTGTTGCTTGGGTCGCTAAATTGTCTCCTCATCAGTAATACAGTGATAAGTTGGTAAAGCAAACAGTGCGGAAATGTGCAGTGCAATAAAACGTTTCCTTATTTATGCTTGATTATTGTATGTAAGGAATGGAACAAGGTAAAAAAAAGCAGATTTGTTTTCCCCATTTCAGATCCGTTTAATTGAGAGTGGCTTTCGTTTTTCCGACGTCGACCGAGAGAATAAGACAACTTCGATGTAGAAGGTGGCGAAGGTCGTTCTTGCTCATAACTTCAGTCCATCCTCGTCGTCCTGGAGTGCCCACCCAGAAGTTCGAAGCAACGATGTCTTGAGTTTGTCGGGAATCATATACATCCCAGACTGGAAAAAGTTTATAATGCTCGACGCATGATCATCCACCATGTAAAATATTTACCCTAGGGACTTGGCTCATAGAAAACCGCGGGGGACATTTAGCCTTGCGATTGGTCAATATTGGATACTTGAAAATCTCCGCTGGTTTGGGAGTTTTTGCACGCTTTTGGGACTGAAGCAGGCACCAAATTAAAAGTCAGGATTATTACATTATCACTACACAAAAAGCTTCGAGACACGTGGTCTGGTAGAGTAATTCTTACCAATATTACTTCAACAAAAGAAAATTGAGGGAAGTTTGTTAAGCCTCATTTCCCCGGGAGTGACTCCCGCATGCAAGGTACGAGGGAAAAAGGCTCGTTCCACATTAGTTAAACGGGTCATTTCATTTTTTTTACCCTATGGTGCGGACGGACGGACGTACGGTCACGTGACTACCAAAATTTCTCGGATGTATAGATAACCAAATTTTCTTATCCCTGGTGCTCCGCTGCCGGTGGCATGCGAGAGCTCCGCATGTAATTTTATATCACGCGTTTTTTTTCTTTTTGAGAAGAGAGGGAGAGGAGGACAATCTGGGTGTGATCCAGGTTTTATTTGATCCCTGGGAGACTAAAAAGGCAACTGACTCCCGAAACGAATTAAGAGATGTAGTCGGATTTAAATTGCGCGAGTGATGTTGAAGTTGAATGCCGTCTTCAACACAGTGTGAGGACGTTTGATTTTCTTTGTATTTATTTCTTTACATATCAACCTAGGCCATATCTGTACGGGTAAAAGTACTAGCGGCAATCTACAACCTTAAGCCAGACAACGAGCATCCCCTTGTCTTTCATATGGGAGATCCCTGAGCATACCCTTCTTCCCGTGCCCCTTCCGGTCCGACTGGTCGGGATGCTCTGAACAATTACCTTATTTCACGCACTCCGGTCCGACACCGCGTTCGCAAGATCCTCCCTTTCAATTCCAGAATTCCTTATATAATTGCTCGTGTAACTGTAGCTTCACGTGGGTGTCCGATCGTTTTTAGCCTTTTTTTGGAAAAACCATTAAATGTACCACCAAGTACCGCCTTCACTCAGTTTCGCTGCCATACAAAATTAAATTACCGACCTTTGACGTGTTTTCCCTTCCCTTTCCTTATTCAAAAGACAGTTACACCTATTCGGTTGGCCAATAAGTCGATTCGATTGTTTCTAGCATTATAAATGTAATTTATTTTACGAGTATTTTATTACATTATTATTTAGCATATTAAATTAATAAAATGTTATTCCGTGTCTTCATATCATGCATCAAGAATGTTACAGGGGATGTCCATATCACTAGGGTTTTGGGAATGGGGATGCCCATATCACTGTGACATCGACATCGCTACTTTAGAAACGGGAAGGAGACTGGGGCGAGTTAACTAGCGCAAAGACTTCTGGGATCGTTACTGAGGAACAGGACAGGCTCGGAGGGAAGAAGACGTTAACCCTTGTGTGACAAGCGTGACAATAATTGTGTTTGAAAGAACGTTTTGCCAAACTTCACTTTCCTTTAGGCAGATCATGTAGTGAAAAACCAGAAAAATGTTAAGTGAAGATCACGACAACACTCGTAATAGCCCTGTCACGAGTGTTTTGCCGTCCTCTTCTTCCTGCCGTCCTGTTGCGTAAACTCACTATTGTAAAAGCAGAGCCGCGATTGACAACCTCGTTCCCATGGACCAAATGGAAAGCGGGTTCTGGGTACGACATTCCCGGTTTGAGAAGTAATCTTGGATCAATTTGGGTCTCTGAGAAACTGCCCACCTACCCCTCCCCCAAGCTAACATTAACACTTCTCACTTAGGGCAAAATTTTGGCTTAAGGGAAGGGTAGGTGGGCAGTTTCTCAGAAACCTAAATTCATCCGTAATCTCTACACACATAGTCGGCTCCGTTGCGCACTGCTATTCACTTCAGTTTCGCTGTTAAAGGCATTCGAAAACAAAGTATGATACATACCTTGAGAGACTGGCTCTGAGTTTCTTAATGGAAAAGGAAGAAAGGATACACTTCCCCCTTGAAATTTAGTAGTCCCGTTTGCTTGCCAGACCAAAGTACAGTATCGGGACGATTTTTTAAATAGTAATATCTCTTAACGCCAAGAAACAAGTCTATATTGAAGATGGGGACAGGGATAACTATCTTGCATTAGGAGTAAGCAAATTAAAGAACTAAAACCACGACGCGCGTTCCAAACTTGGATGTTGTTTATTACAGTTACCTTAATGAACGAAGTCATTTATTAATTAGATTTTCATAGAGATCATCATAGATAGTTTGATTTCTTTCCTTTTTCTCGAAAATTACCCAATATGCTGTAACAATTTCTGAAATAATGAAGTACCAGCCACCGAAATTTTCATTAGGGTCCTCTCGTGAAACGTTCTGTGTGAGTACCCGAACTTACCATTAATCTTTCCCCCTAGTTATACTAACCTAGTTAATCTCGGAACCAGATCTCACAATGCCCTACGCTGAAAAGTCGTGGGATCTGGGTACGAGGTTACAACCTAAACTACCAGCATCCAATACATGAACAAAGGCGGATCCAGGGGTACGACGAGGGTCTAGAGGTCCGGACCCACCCCCCAGCCCCTCGCGTTTCCCACTGGCAATTGTGTCTAATTCACGCGTTCGTCAAATTAAAATATGAGAATTGAGGGCTCCGAGCAGGGATGTTAGTAAAAGAGAAACGGGGAGCGGGGAACGAGAAAATGAAAATTGGGAACAAAACGTAACTAGAACCCTAGCCCTGTCAGTAACTTGATTGCCAATTCTATCCATTTTTTCAATTTCCCGTTTCCCGCTCCCCGTTTTGGTAACATCCCTTCGAACAGTCTACTCTAAGTTAATCTGCAAATCTAGCGTGGAGGTTATGGACGAAAAGGCCGGAAAAAACAAAAAAAAAATGAACCTTCAGGCTGAATCGAAGAGGTAAAATCGTGGCTAAAAGTGCAACTGTAATTCGAAAATATAGTGGAACCTCGATATAACAAGCCTCATCAACATAACGAAGTCCTCGGTATAACGATCATTAGTAAAATCCAACTAGTGGTCTATTATCAATGCTGCGTTCTGATTGGTTGAGCTACTACTAGGCTATGTATTATAGCCCACTAGTAGCAAAAAGCGCGGGCTTTTTGGCGGCAAAAAAAAGATTTAAGTCCAGCTTTAACTAGCCAAAATTTTTTTATTCTCGATATTTTTGACCAACTAGTTGGATTTTACTAAAACAATTATTCCTCTCCCCCTTCATGGCCTCTGAGTCAATAGGCCATTTGGGTTCGAGGAATAATTAAATATTTTTATTTTGTCCCTGTAATAGTACAACATATGGAAAAAACCTCAGTTTAACGAAACCTCGTTATAGCGAACATATTTTGTCAGTCTGCTGACACTTCGTTATTATCGAGTGTCCACTGAAACATGAGAGCCCTAAGCGCTGTAGACTACTCCATGCAGTGTCAACACTGACTGTACTGTTTCATACCTGGTAAAAAGTTTTAAAAAAAGGTTGCAAGATCTGCTACTGGGCAGGCAAGTTGCCAGAAAAATGCAACTCTAAGATAATGTAATAGGCCATTTGCATGATGACGTCATTTTAGTACTAAATATACGCGCCCCCCTCCCCCCACCCGCTCGTTTAAGACGTATCACTTTCAAACTTAACAGGTGTTATAATTTTAAGGTGCTCTTTCTAGTGGTGTCGACGGATTTTTCCTTACTAGTGCATGTCAAAAGTAAAAAAAAAAAACAACATGGAAAGGTCTATTAACGCCAACATAACATCAAGTACAGTAAATTGAAAAAAAAGTTGACCTTGTGCACTATTGAGTAAGGAATATTCAGAGAAGAACAACTCAGCTTGGCAAGTCCCTACTTAGAACTGCTGATGGCACCTCATACAATAAGTTTACTTCATTAGTTTTTTCCCTCAGCTTCACCGAGGGGCTAGCTATTTCTTTCCTTTTGCTTTATAAAATGTCGAGGTAAGAGCTGTTATAGCCAACATTCCGCCTTTGAGCTTTCGCCTAGCGTTGAACTCTTTAAGTTTATCAAAGTACTTCTTGTCCATTTTGTCTTTCTTAGCAGCATGACCCTACAAGAAATGACCAAATTATCCAGTCAAAGCGTTTTAAAGATGACACTAAGCAAGTCCATGCAAGTCCGAGACATATGCGGTTAAATTGACATCACGGCTAGGTCAATAACTCTCCCGGATTCGTCATTGCTGGACCTTGCTAATGGCAATTTACATTTTAAAATCACATTTCCGGAGAGGACATATCGCAAGTTTCAAAATAAATAAATAAAGAAATGGTAAAGAAACCACTCAAGCGGCCTAAAACTCATAGGAGCAAGGATTAGCAGTGTCGGTTGGTGCCTGGCCTTCTGTACGGGATGTTCCGCGTTCAATTCACAGGTGTGAACTCGAATCCTTGTTTCCTTTCTCTGTAGCTTTAAATGCCGTAAAACGAAGCACTGATGGAGAGAAGAGGGGGTAAAATAAGCGCGAAGTCGGTCTCAGGTTTGTTAGTTTAAGAACCGTTACGAGTTACGGGCGAAAGAGCTTTATCTTTACTTATCTCAACCTTTCTCGCCCTGTCTGAGGCTTGACTGATCCTGGGAAGTGGGAGGATCGTACGAAATCACAAGTAACCTTGCCCACCTCGGCCCAAGCTCCCAGCTTCCAGTCAAAACTCAGTAAACATGGCGGCACTGCCCACTGGCGGCAAGAAGGAACACTTACAAGGCTATCTAACAAGTAAGAAGAGTCAAACTACTGTCTAAATATAATGTGTCTGCTGTTGTTTTTACCTGCACCCACTTATGCTTGAGAGCTTCTTTTGCCGTTAATCTCTTTTTAGGATCCAAAACAATTAATTTCCTGACAAGATCCTAACGATGAAACAGTTAAGACTGAATTTAAGCTTATTAAGCTCATGAATCCCGTTAAACGATCAAACCGTTTCGTCCTACACCGTGTTGGAAGAACATATGCTTTACCGTTTAGCCGCGCCTCTCTCAACATGGGATGGCTTTCAGTGTTTGATCTACATCAAACATTTTCACCAAATACATTCCATCCATCACAAATTCAACGTTGGACAAAAATGTTTGATCGTTTAGTGGGGAACTTAAGCTTATTTTAAATTTCGAGGTTTGTAGTGAGCTCAAAACAATAATGCAAATAAACAAGTCTCAGTGCTTACAAAAAAGGAAAAAAATTACATGTAGATGTACTAATATAAAGGCGCGTAAAATTCAGTGAAAATTTAAGAAAGCCCACAGCAGGGCGTATAAAGGTTCCACAGTGAGGTTTCGACCTACCTTTGCGTTCTCTGACACTTCGTCCCACCATGGCGCTACAAACTCGAAATCACACTTTAAAATCCTTTGAAACATGGCTTGATCACCACGCTCATCATAAAAAGGTTCAAAACCACACAATCTGAATTATTTAAAACAAAAACAACTTAATCAAGGACTTTTACTTGTGAAATGAATTGTATACTAAAACACTCATAAATAAAGATATGATACGAAGGAAATCCCAGACGTTCAGTGGCTGGTGGTATAATGATATTAATCTGATTGTCCTCGTTTACACAGAACTTTCCTTTGACGTACCCGGCTAAAATAACTAAAATAAACACAAAGTCAAGAAAAATAAACACTTCTGTGTACGTACAAGATTTGTGAGACTGATCGTACG